AAAAAAAAAAAAAAAAAAAAAAAAAAGGAAAGAAAAAAAGGCCATTTTCCTGGCTCAAATAGGGTGAACCCTATTTGCCCACATCATGTTTCGAGTTTTTCATAATTAGATCAACACATAATCTGCATATGGGGTGTGTGAGGGCATATTTGATTAAATGGTAAAAATACTCAAGTGTGGGCAGGTAGAATCAAATTATCCCTCTATGGGAACTTATATATCGATGCTATCAGAAAAAAAATTTACTTCTTTTTATGATAACATAAGGTAAATGTGGCTAGAGATTCATGCACATTATACAAACTCTTGACTTGGTAGTTAGGTATTACAAGATTAATAACAAGTATAATGATGTATATAAATATACGTAAAAAATATAATATTAAGTATAAAAGAATAAAAGATTAAATATCGTATTCACTAGATTTCAATTTCTCAATCAAATAAATATAAAACAGTCCAACTACCATTTAAAATATTAAGTTTTTAATTCAATACTTTAATAATTTTTCTTTTTTTTTTCTTTTTTTTTTTATTGTTTTGGNCTATTCACACGGCTAGAATGAAAACCTCTCGGCCATACCCACGCTCATGGGCCTAAATGTTCATGCCACGATTTTTCTTTTTCTTTTTTTTTTTCTTTAATATAAGATATGAATTATATCCTTCTAATTTTAGGTGTCCAATCCACTGACCAAGCCTAAAACCAGCATTAAGTCTTTCTTTCCCTGTAAATTTCAAAAGCCAAAGAATAATACGCAAATCACGATCAAACAAATTAACTAATTGCATTAGACTTCTTGTGGTAAGCTAAGCTTGATAAGCACTTTGGGTGAAAGCTGATAAATATTGCTTTTCCACTTGAACGGAAAACCTTGACCTTAGAATTTCTGGCAAACGCATAAAGGTTGTCACAAAACGTCCCAAAAATAAAGAAAAGTAATGGGAATTTGGTGAAATTAATGGAAATAAAGATAAAACGAGTATAATAAAGTAATGGAAATTTGGTGAAATTAATCTAAATGAGGATTCAAACTAGGTGCACTCCCTTTTACTTCCGACGTTATTTTCCTACCTGTATTCAACTGAAATGTTATAAGTCAACAAGTCTCTCTAATTATTAATTTAAATAGTCTACGTCCCTAATGAAAGAGAAGATTCGCACTTAACCGACTTGTAAGCAATTGTTTCACTTAATGAAATCGTGTTTAATTGATTGAACAAAACATTGACAACCAAAAATAATGATAGCATTTCCACTTAACAAAGGTGCAGTTAATATGACCATTAATTGCTGTGAAAAAAAATTAACATACCATTCAAAGTAAGTATTCAACTACGCAAACTCTTGGTTGGGATATATTACATATGTAAAGATTCAAACAATTTATATTTATTAAGGTTGTGTTAGGCAGTCATGATAAGAATTTGTGTTTACATTTATTGATTTTACTTGAGAAAGGACCCAAATGCGATGATAGGTTTAAAGAAAGAATATACAAATATTTTTCATTTTCAAGGATATCAACAGGTTGATTTGGTTGAAAATTTTCAATTAGGATTTCATTATTCTTGATCGAATCTATTTGTGTTTACATTTACTGATTTTACTACCCAAATGCAATGATAGGTTAAAGAAAAGAATATACAAATATTTTTCAATTTCAAGAATATCACCCAGTTGATTTGGTTGAAAATTTTCAAATAGGATCTCATTATTCTTGATAGAATATTTTGGGTAAATCTCATAATTCTATAAAATCTAAATCATAATATATTAAATATTCTTGAGTTGTATTTCAGTCCATTGGACATTTAAAAATTACAGTAGTAGAAAATTCACATTTCAATATTTCGCATTTACCCCCAAAATATGCTCAAGATGCACAGTATGTACCCGTCGCGTATGTTTTAAAAAAAAAAAAAGCAAAATTAAACACAATGCAAAGGACAAAATAGGAAATTCATAAATGAGAGTAACCGTGAAAAGTGAAAACCCGCCGTGATATTTGTCCCCTTTATCTCCGACCCACCGACGAAAAGGTCACTCAAACAGCCACGTAAGCCAACCATTCCGCCATCAACCACCACGTCACATCCACGCGCCGCCGGCAATCGTCACAACTCAGCTTTCTCCTCACAAGAACCACGCGCCGATCTAAATCGAAAAAGGCGCCTCAACTACCCGATCTCCGGCCCGACCTGAACCGGACCATGCCTCCCAACCCCGGCGGATCACCCGCTGTCTCGCCTCCCGCCGGAAATTCCTTCTGTTCCCAAATCGCGCTCCTACGCGGCGGCTCCTCCTCCTCCTCCGGCCCCTCCACCACCTTCCCGCTCCCCGACCGGAACGGTTTCCTACTCCCGTTATTAAAACAGAAAACTCTCATTACCTTTGCACAGAAACCGGATCTCCTCTCCCCGCCGCCGATCCCCGATTTCTCCGCCGTCGTTCCCTCCGTCCCCGGTGGATTCGCGCGGCGCCGGCCGCTCATCGACCGGACTCTCCCCATACACGAGACCTTCGGCGAACCCGGTTCGGCCTCCGTAACCGTCGTGTTTTCCCGTTTGGGGAAAAGCCCCGCGTTCGCCGCCTTGCAGGTCCTCCACTTCGAATCGGCGAAAGCCGCCTTCTGAGTCCTCGGAAGACCGATTATGGACGCCTTTGATTTGGCCGACGACCGCTGCGAATTCGATCCGCTCATGCTGTTGGGGTTCGAATTTCCCCTCGTCGAGTCCTTCCGCTCATACACGGCGTTGCGGTCGAACCAGTCGTGCTCCGCGTCCTTCGGCAGCAATAACGATTCCGGCGGGAAATCCGGCTCTGAGGCGCCGGCGGCGCGATCGTCGGTTACGGAGCCGTTTATCGCCGTGCCGCCTACCACCGCCGCCTGTCGGGTGGTTATGTCGCGGTTGTCAGGCCCGGCGGGGCCTAGGGTTTCAATATCGGCTTGAGTCATTTGAGAGGAGGTATAGAGAGAGAGAGAGAGAGGTGCAGATGAGAGAGAAAGGAGAAGACCATGAAAAGTCTGCGGCAACGCAAGTGAATATTTATGCTGACCAATCACTCACACTCTAATCTATGTTTAGATTAAAAAAATAAAAAGGAAAATATATACAGGCCTTCATTTTGTTTATAAATCACTAATGAACTCAAGAATAATAATTTCTATGTATTTTTTAAATTTTTACTTAGCTTAGTTCGTTAAAATTTAAATTCCACATTCCACTAGTAACGTAATACGTAAGCTTAATTTAAACTCGTTTATTGATGTGATTATACAACGATCCAAGCTCTATGCTGTTCAATAAAAATTGAATTCAAACTTGAGCATAATTGACTCATTCTCATTTACATCTCTAATTATATGGTATAGTCATGTCTCAATAATTGATTAGTTGATATTTGCTATTTTCTTGTGGTTGGTATTGTATGTATCAATAATTGATAAGTTGATGTTTGTTACCTTTGTCTTGTTTTTACCAATTATTTTACAAATGATTTACTAATTTGTTTAATTTACATATTTACTTATTCATGTATGCGGATATGAAATTAATTGAAAGGGCAAAGCAATAAGTTGGAATTTCGATGTGGGTTATGTGGGGCTTTCATTTATCTGTCTGCTAACATTGTGTTGACCGATGATGGCTTCTTTTTTAATATTGATGTAAACTTTTTTGAAATGAGGTTGAAAATTCATGCCAATTTAGAAAAAGAAGAAAGAAAAAGGAAAAATGAAAAAGGTATTATAAATCATAATATGACAATTGATGACCCGATTGAGCTCCCTGATATCCCGATTGAACTTGATGACCCGGTCACCGAAAATAAAGCGGTCCATGGTAGCATTGTTGGCTTGCAAAATGGGTCGAGAGGTTCTCTCGGTATTAGCACTCTACGATCATTTCAGTAAAGGTTCTAGAGGAAAGTGGAGGCAATAAATAGTTGCGGATGATAATAAATAAGTGAAATAAGAAAATAAGCATACTCTTACCCTCTATTTATAATGGTGACATTACCTTAATTGTTGTCTTGGTGCCAAGAAATGGTTGCCCGAAAGTACAATGAACTGCCCCAACGGGCTATCCGAAAGGGACAACTGGTTGCCCGGATGAGTTGCCTAAGATTTGTTTTTATCTTAATGACTAGGATTATCTTAATGCATTCACACTTCACCGTTATCCTTTGAGTCTTCAACTGTTAAACTCATTTAGGCCATTTTGCACACTTGGGTCGTGTTTTAAGTGATTTCAGCACTCGTTTGGGTCGTTCTGGTCATTGAGTCCCTTTTGGTCACTTTGGGTCATTTCAACACTCTTTTGGGTCGTTATGCCCATTAAGTCCCTTTTGGTCATTTTAGGTCGTTTCAGCACTCTTCGGGTCGAGTTTCACGGCCTTGATTCGTTTTGAGTCAAGTGGGACATTGGGTCGCTTTGAGTTGAATTTAGGTAGCATAGCACTTTAGGTCATATACTAGAGCTTAGGCCGCACGTTATGTTGCATTTTAACTTTTAGGTCGCACATATGTCGCATTTAGGACTTCGGGTCGTTTATTAGATCGCATATTAGGACTTCAGGTCATTTAACACATGTTTGGGTCGTTCGGGTCGAATGGTTTTCTTAGGAGATCATGACCTGGTTGTCTTGGAGACTCGGTTGAGTTGACTAAGTCGAATGGTCTATATCTAATTGTATTCGTATCTATATCACCTAGTCCACCCTCCCCCTGAGACGTACTTTATGTGAGCTCAGGTTGTAACTAACTAAAAAGTATGGTCAGCTTGTTGTCTTGTCAGGTACGAAAAAGTTGTCAAATGTATTCAATGTGAATGCGAAAGGACCTCTTGAGGTTTAAAAAAGGTACCTCGTACAACGTGCGATTGATTGGACTCCTACAATCTAGACCCTTGATCCATTCCCTAATTCAAGGGCTCCAAATAGCTAGGGTAAATATAAATATCTCCACCCTCCCAAAGGGGCTATTATTTTCAAAAAGTCGTCTCTCTTCTTTCTTCTTCCCAACGTGATTTCTTAGTTAGTGACATTGAACCAATCAATAGTTTCACCCGCTAAACAAATATGTATATCTTTTATAGTTCTGTGTCATATATTTTCAAATTAATAGTTTCACGAGTGAAACAAATATTCCAATCAATGTGCACCTAAAACTTGTAACGAAGTTTAGAATCTATTGCGACAAGCGGTGAATTAAATCACTCAACTATATAGTTTACCGTTGGCGCCTACATTATTTGGTTTAGAATCTTTCGAGACACGTGTCAAATCAAACCAAGCAACGATAATTCAAAATTTCGCGCACTCAATTTCAAACTTGTTAACAACCAACACTTTAAATTGAACCAACAAATGAAAGTTCAAATTCCCCACACACTCAACTAACGACTTTTTAAACATGACTTGAATGATTTAATGTCAATTAAATGTTACTTCGGTTCAATATTTGCAATAATTTTTTCAAATTTACCACCGAGTATTAGAAAAGAAACAACTTTTTTTTTCCCTAAATTTATAATAAAAAAAACATAATCAACAATGCAGGATGTAACACTACATTTATTTGGTCATTTTTTTTATATATATATTTTGTTGCTACTGTGAACTATCCAACATTATTATCAAATTATCATCAGATAATTAGGTAATTAACATAACACGCAGCAATCACAAATCACAATTGGCTCATTTGTTGTGCAATAAAAATAAAAAAGCACTGTTGAAAGAAAAATCGGACTCATGTTATATTGGTCTGGCTGAGTAGAGTATTTATAATTTGTTGACGCTCAGTCTCACCACACTCTCTCAGTCTCCGGCCACCGCCACACATTATACACCCACACTGAAATTCAGTTCTCTTGACTTCATCTCGATCTTTTAGTCATGGTAAGAAGGGAGAGGCGAATAAGAACGAGAAAGAGATCGAGAACGTGAGCCTTTTGTTATTTTTTATTTTTTTCGAATCAATTGAACTCAGTAATCGGTGTCAGCTTTCTTTTGATGTCAATTTTCGCTTGCAATGATGTTTTATTTATGTATCAATTGTTTGGTTGGTTTGTCTCGGCTTAAGAGAATGGGATCTGAGCGATTTGTGTTTGAACTGGGATTTTATCTGATTTGGCCACCTTTCTAATATTTATATCATTGAATAAAATCAATTGAGCTCCCGTCTGTTTGCATGTCCTTCTTGTTGTTTGAGAAGTGTTGATTTGTGATTAAATTGAAAGATGTTATTAGATTTCAGGGTCTCAGGAGATTTTGGTTGCAATGGTTTTCTTAATCATGTGTTTGATTGGTTTCTAGCCGCTTAAGAGGATGAGGTCTGATTGATTTGTGTATGAGCTGGGATTTTATCTGATTTGGCCACCTTTCTCCTATGTATCATCCTTGAAAAAAATCAATTGAGCTCTTGGCTGTTGCATGTCACTAATCTTCTTTGAGAAATGTTGATTTGCAATTAAATTGAAAAATGTTATTAGATTTGAGGGTCTCAAGAGCTTTTGGTTGCAATAGTTTTACTTTTATTAATCATGTGTTTCATTAGTTTTTAGGGGGTTCAGAGGATGAGATACGATCAATTTGTGTATGGGACGGGATTTTATCTGATTTGGCCACCTTTCTCTTACGTCTTACAACAACAACAACAACAACATACCCAGTATATTCCCAACATTCCCAACAGGTTGGGGTCTGGGGGGTTAGTTGTACGCAGACCTTACCCTTGTAATTATACAAGGAGGCTGTTTTCGTAGCGACCCAAGGTGCATTGCGCCGTTTGATATTTTTTTTTTATTTCTAGAATCTTCACTAATAGTAGAATCTTCACTAATAGAAGAAGCACTAGAATTTAATTGAGCCATTTTGATCTAGTCCATTATTAGCACTATGCCAGGAGAATTGTCAACAACGACTCTTCCAACTCCATTTGCAATGGAGCTATTGAATGTTTGCATGCCTCTCTTCTTCTTTAAAAAATGTTGTTTTGTGATTAAATTGAAAAATGTTATTAAATTTGAGGGTCTCAAGAGATTTTGGTTGCAATGGCTTTCTTAATCATGTGTTTGATTGGTTTCTAGCAGCTAAAGAGGATGGGATCTAATCAATTTGTCTTAATCATGTGTTTGATTGGTTTCTAGCAGCTAAAGAGGATGGGATCTAATCAATTTGTGTATGAGTTGAGATTTTATCTGATTTGGCCAGCTTTCTCTTATGCTTATCTGTAAAAAAGATGATTAAGCTCATGGCTATTTGCATGTCTCTCTTCTTCTTTGAGAAATGTTGATTTGTGATTAAAAGGAAAGTTGTTGTTAGATTTGAGGGTCTCAGGAGAATGAGATTCAATTTATCTTTCACGCATTGTTATCTTATTAATTTAGTTAGTTAGTTCTAATTGTTATTTANTTGAATTCTGTAATTGGCATCTGGATATTACATTGTATTTGTTATTTGTTTTGTTTGTCTTATTCTGTGTCGTGAATGAGAAGAACATTTTCAAGGTGACAGGCTTGTAATAATATTTAATATTGACTACAGTTGATTGTCTCAAGAGAATGATATTCAATTATCTTTCACGAACTGATAGTTTTCCAACTTAGATAAATCTTCTTCTTCTTCTTTTTTTCTCCCCTCTAAAAATGAAAGAACAATTGAAACCAGTAATTGGTTTTTGCCTTAATTTATTTACAACTTTTTTTTTTTTAATATAAATGTGTGTAGTTGACTTGTAATTGAGAAATTATAGGGTGAAGTGTTTGTGATGATTATACATGCGACTAGCCTTCATTGTTTAAAATGAGATTCAATTACTTCCTCAATAAGTAGTTTCTCCAGTTTCTTAAGTTCGATATCATTGTCTGCATGATTAAATTAATTAATTATTATTTTCCGTGTCTTATCTTCATTTGTACTTGACGACATTTCCGGGTGAAGATTTTGTAATAATCATGTATGTGGCTACTGGTCAGTTATCAACGTCTCAAGAGAATGAGATTATGTGAAGTTTGCATGAGTTGAGAAATTCATCTGATTTAGCAAGCTTTTCTTAGTGCATAACCATTCGAAGTCCTCATATAGGAATACATTGTTTGTGTTCCTCATTCCTTATTACTTTTACTTGTTTATTGTCGTGTCCAATCCTAAATTACAATTGAACCGCATTCCACTTCAGCCATGATTCTGAATCATGATACATGAGCCGCAGTCTTTTTCTAATTCATTCATAAGACAACATACATGATTGGTTCCCAAATATGACAAAAGTCCAGGCCTTTGCATTTGCATTTATTAAAGAAAGTTTGTGTTGGGTTTATACTAGCTAGAATCTCATATCTTTTCCAAAGGGTTAATAGATTATATTCAACTGCATTAATCATACTAGAAAATCGGCTTTTTATCCATAGATTTGCCATTAGACGGCCTTTCACTCTATTTTCTAATGCCACGTGTTTCGTTCAGCGACACTAAATGCTACAACAACCCTTATTACCGTCGTCATTATTTTGATCCTGTCGAGTCTTTTTTTTTTATAGATTGACAGACATCACGAGGAGGGAAAACCAGCGGCAGGAACGCGAAGAGCGTGACATTCCCCCAGAGGTCCTGGCATTAGTCATCTCCCGCCTCAACCTCAGAGGAAACATACGCGCCTCCGCCGTCTCCACCCGCTGGCTGGCGGCAGCCATCTCAATCCGGCAAGTCAAGTCCCCACCTCTGCTCATGCACATCCCGAAGAAGGGAGATTTCTACGAGTTTTACGACCCGTCATCTTCCACCTCCTATGTCATTGATCTCCCCGAGATCCAACGGTCCCGGGTCCTCTACTCCAGTGACAGCTGGCTCCTCCTCAACAACCCCGTCTCACTAGACCTCTTCTTCTACTGCCCGTTTATCCGGTGCACCCATCAAATCCCTCGGCCATGGGAAACGACCATGCCCCTGACCACCGCCTTTACCTCATCCCCTCTCTCCACCAACTGCACCGTCTTCTCTCTCTTCCAGACCATAAGCATCATCACCGTCGCCGTGTGGCGGCGTGGCTGGACCCACTGGAAGACGAACAACTTGCCGAGGCCCCTTCAGTACTTCTACAGTCCGTGGGTTCAGATCGCCTACAGCGGCGGCTCGTTCTACTGCCTGAGCCTGGAGGGTCAGCTGGGGGTGTTCGAACCCAACAGCTTCGCGTGGTCTGTCCACTACATTATGGCCCCTGTCTGCGGGGGGTTAGTGGGTGAGAACCCATGGGAGGCGAGGTTCATGGCCGAGCTCGAAGGGGAAGTTTACGTCGTGTGCACGGGCCCGGGGCCCGGCCCAGTCGTGTATCGGGTGGGCTCGGAGGAAGGGAATGAGTGGCTACCGGTGAGGTCGCTGGAAGGGGTGGCGCTGTTCGCCAATGATTTGACATCTCTCGCGAGGGCAGACGTGGGGACTCCCACGGCGGGGAGGATTGTCTTCTCCAAAGTGAAGCTTTACGGGGCCAAGTGTGTGATGTACTCTCCTGGCCAGGGGAGGTACTACCCGGACGCTAAGATGAAGCTTGACTGGAGAAGAGAGGAGCCATATCGAAGCATATGGATCGACGTGCCAGAAATCACCCCGGAGTTCAGGTAAGGGTTATTTACTGCATGGGTAAAAGTGGTGGTGGAGGTGTATTTTCATGTTATTACTTTTGATTTTGATGTTGCTTGCCAGGGGTGTCGAGTTGGGATCGCCGGATGGTGATGGTGCGGCAGCTGGCGGCGGCGATGAATAGGTATCCGTCCGGAGCTGGCCCTGTTTCCGCAAATGCTGTTTATTTCCTTTTTAATATTGACCATGCAGGGTCCATGAGTTGCAGACTCGAATGCATAATATTGCTTTTCCATCTTTAGGAAACTATTTATCTATAACTTTCTAAAACTTCTGTGTGTAGACGCAAAGGTTACATGGTTTTCTTTGACGTATAAGTATCTATACTTTCTGCATTTAATTAATTTGGAAGTTGTGATGGCATATCTTTTATTAAGTAAGATAAGTATGTTTGAACTGTGTTGTTATTGGTGCCACAGTCCACACAGGCTATATCCGCTGATTGGTCTTGGCATCACTTCTGCGTTTCTATTCATTTGTTTGAATAATTTTAATAGTACATATGATTGGAAAGTTGGGAAGTTGCATTATGGTAATAATTTTTCGTGTGTTAGGAGTGAGTTATAAGACAGAGAGAAGTCTTATCTTTTATTTAAACTACACATATATCTATATTTTCATAAACTTTAGTGCTATTATGATCTTGTCTGCATTTTTTATTAAATAGATGTGATAAAGTAGGGTTATAATAATAACTGATAGTATTGCAGAAAAGATTTATCTGGGATGTAGGAGGAGGATGACATTGTTGTTTGGGTCTTGATGACTAGATATATTTGAAATGTTAATATTACCCTATAATTGGAAAGTGGTATCCTTTTCTTCTTTAAGGAGTCAATGATAGGAATATGTTAGAGAAATCTTATTCTTTATTAAAAAGATATATATCCACATTAAAATATTTTTAGTGATGTCTTGGGGTCTTGTTTGCTTTTCCTGATTGAGTAGATGCAATGTTTTAGGATTAAGTAGGATGACACTAATAACATGGAGATACAAAAGAAATGTTAGAATATAAAATTATAATTTTCGGAGTTCGTGGTGGATAACAAATTTTCTTTTGGGTGTTGATGACTAGATATATATCTGAAGTGTTAAATATAACCTCAAGAGGTTTGGATAAACAAAAAGATACATGAATACGTGACCAGGAGATAGTGGCAAAGTTTAATTTGATTAGATAGCAGTTACAAGGAGTACTTTAAGTTTTTGGATGTATGTCTGGGTAAGCAATTAATGCATACGAAAGACTTGAATGAAATGGCCACAAATTATGAAATGAACTTATTGTTTTTACCATGTTTTTGTGGATCTTTGGAAGATGCTATTACGTTATGTTAATACTTAATAATTGCTCTTTGAAATTCTTGGTATATAATTACACCACCTCTGTTGCAAAGATGGATATAAAATAATATCCAGGGCAAAGATAGAAATGTAATAACACCTCCAGTGTGCAGACAATGCATATAATAACTGGTGCAATATATATATATATATATATGTGTGTGTGTGTGTGTGTGTGTGTGTGTGTGTGTGTGTGTGCGTGTGTGTGTGTGTAACTCACCACCTCCGGTGCAAGCATATATGATTATGTCGAGTATGGATTTTTTTGTCATGAGCAACGTATCCTGCTTTCACGTGGTTATCTAATGAATCTACATTCCACTTTCCTAAATGAGGCCTTGTTTTGAACACAAAGTCAACAAGAATGAAATTTGAGAGAGTCATGATTAGAAAATAGACAAACCATGGTTTGAAATGGGGAATGGGCTGGGGGCCCAGTTACAGTAGTTGGTCTGAGTTGGTGAACCATTTAAGGAGTTTTAAGGGTCCGTTTTACCGACATATGCTGTTGTTTCGACCTTGTTTCTTCTTTATTATCATTATGAGTAACTTTGTGCACAGTTAATTTGATTTTTCTAATAATTTAGATACCATCTTTGCCGAAATCTTTATTTGTTAAATACTAGGATTTATGATATCACCTTTTATAGTTTTTACATGGTTTTATCATTACAGTTGTTGGCCCACCAAAAAAAAGTGAGGTGCATCGGCTTTAAAACAATGAGGTTCTTAGCTGTAGGCTTTAAATGTGAGTTGATTTATTTTCATTTTAATCAACAATTTTACGTATTATTCTGTCCTTTTTGACGCTACCTTTGGAAATTTGGTATTTAGACGCTACCTTTGGAAATTTCACTATCGGTATCCAATGCGTTAGATGCCTTTTCAGTTATCATTGGACTAATGTAATGTGAGTCGGCTTTAAACGATCGCCTACGAGTACAGTGAGGTCATTGACTTTAGATAAGATGGGGCTCTCACTTGCTTGTTGCCTCCTAGTTGCGTTGCCAAGTTTGAAATTCCCTGTAGTTGTCGTGGTGCAAATACTGAAGTTCCTGTATATGTTGCAAATAAAGAAATTCACTTATGCTTACAGATATACTATGCTGGGTTTCTGGAAGTTGCCATTTTTGTTATTTCCTAATCTTAATTCCAATTAGAAAATATCGAATTACATGACGTATGAAATATGAAGTTGGTCTAAAAATATTTATTGAGATTTAGGATGCAATGACTATTATATGAGATGTTGACATGTAATAATAATATATTCTAAAAAGATGTATGGTAACAGAAAATATGATGCATAATTATTACAATTCTCAGGGCTGTTGTCGTGAACTTTCTTTTGCTTCTTTATTGTATACTTCAGAACTATATACGGAATCTAATTCTTTACAATTTCTCTTACTAAATGACAGGGACCACATAATTAAGACTCTGCAGTTGTGCAAGGGGGAAGTCCTTTTGCTCGACTTGATAGCCTGCATATATCAAGGCATCCAGGTAAACTTCATGGGGCAAGCTCATTCTGCTTCTCTTTAGCTGTCATCTGATTGTTAATGTTGCCTTTTGGTTTTCAGGGATGATTTAAATGGAGGATGTGGCATTATGCTCGATAATTCATTCCGCATGATACTGAGATGAAGCATTTTTAAGAGGTATTCAATCTTTGAGCTGTTTAAGCTAATTATTGCTATTTGCATATTCTCATTTGTATACGTCCATGCGGTATGCTACCCGCAATTCTAGAAAATTTTTGCTGGTAAATTATCTCGATAAATACCACAAACCAGAATGTTTAGAATAATACCATTTCTCGAAATCTTGTTCTGTATATCCTGTAATTTATAAAATCACCATGTTTAGTTATTAACATGGTTATGGACTAATTTAATATGAGTTGGCCTGATACAATAAATTATGCTGCTAATATGGAGCAGATATAGAAGATCATTCAAATGTGGGGAAAATATTGAAATTTACTATTATGCTTACTGCTATTCCTAATTTCGCTTCTGGAAAAATTGACTTGTATGGTATCTCCTTTATACCCACTCTAATTCCGATATGAAAATATCAGATTCTCCTTTCTGTAATTTAACAATGTCGTATGGAACCTGAAGCTAGCCAGAATATATATGTTTATACTTGTATATGTATGTGTCTGTTATATAAAAATAATGGACCTGTAGGGGCTCCGGGGGACAAAACGTGGCATCCATTCAATATCTGGGAAGGTGAAAGAACTTGTATGCACGGACCTTAATCAAGTTTGAATTCTCTTAAGAAAAAAAAAAGGCACAACATTAGGATTAAACCGAGTTGATGTCTTGCTACTTTGGTTGTTGTTATCTGATGTGGAAATGAAATATTTAATAAACTTTTGGTGTGTTTATTCAAACAAGAGAAAACTCAATGTAGACTATTTTTTTGTTAATATAATTTTTATAAATATAGCCTATTACCCTTTTACCTTTTGGTGTGTTTATTCGAACAAGAGGAAACTTAATTTAGAATACTTTTTTGTTAATATTTTTTTTTTTAAATGTAGCCTATGACCTTCTTACCTGATTACAATATAAAAGTAAAATTAGTGGACTAAGTTGATGGAAAAGATTCCAGTCACCCTCAAAGAGATTAGTTTCCCAACATATTGTTATGAATTGTGATACCAGAACATTTTTTGGCATGCACTGGGCTATGAATTAAATTTTTAAATTGAAACAGGGTTTCAGAACATTGATTTAGTTTCTTCTCTTGGGTGAACGTAATGTTGGACTTGCATTATGTAGCTTTCCCCAATATGCTAAAGACATGGTTTATTGTACTATGGAATCTAGTTATTGGAAACTGTATTTTTTGTGCTTGAGACATTTGACTATGAAGCTTTGTCAATAGCATCTATTAGGGAACTGGTGAAGTTCCTGTATCACCTGGTGAGTAAGTCAACAATGGATAGCAAATGTAGTTTTTCTTCAATAATGCAGCAAATTAAGGATACAGTCAAAATGAGGGCGTGAACCCACTACACTGGTGTTCGTTGTGGTGAGAGATCCCTTTCCACTTACATTTTGACTATGAAATTTGATTTTTTGGATCAATATGACTAAGATTTTCTTAATTTTCGAGCTGTCCACTTTTTCAATGGGTATTCATTTGTTTTCATTTTTTATTTTCCGCACTTTGTGCAGTCAGCCAGAAATCTTGATGTTAGTGCGTGAAGAATGTTTAGAGGAGTAATGCTGCGTCTCTTCTACCTGACAGGTAAGAGGTAATATCACTAGCTAAAACTTCTGTGTGGAAATTAAATGTGCAAATATTACATGCTTAGGGTATTCCCAAATATTTATTTGATCAAGGTCAGTCCATGTGATATATTGCTCCATAGTTTGAAAAATGAAAGTAAAAACAGTTAGGGATGAAACTTTCTTACTTGGAGTTTGTGACAGCAGGTCAAAATCTGATAGAAAGCTAAAAATGGACACAATAACAATTATTACCCTTGAGATATAGCCCAAATATAATAAAAGAGGTAAACCAACATATCCTCCTTTAGTTACGGAACTCCTTGACATATTTTGACCATGTTCATTTACATCTCATTCAAGGAGTAATTTTGTTAAACAAATATAAACCTCAAGAAATGAAGAGAATATTTTGTCTCCATCTGAGTTAAAAATTACAAGTTTATTCGCCATTTACCATTACAATGTAAGAATCGGGATCCTGTCTCTTCATGGGGAGCTGTAAATTAGGCTCATGGCAGCCACTTGGACCAAGGTTAGTTTTTGGCTTACTGAAATCGTATATCTTTGATTTGATTTTGGGATGTTATTTAGCGACATGCTCAATGATAAATCAATTGTTTGATTATATTTTGATGTACCCGTGACAAATCTATGTATCATCATTTCTGTTGCGTGCTTGTTTCAGTTTCAATCTTACTGATGTTTGTGTTCTTTTCTGCTTGCCACTTTTTGGTGGTGGCAATGGACCTAAGTATGTAGTGGCAATACATCAGATATAGGTTTGGGTTCAATTCCTTGGAGGTAAATTTGGATATGCTATTCTTTTGGGGGCTGAAACAGTATTTTGAAAACCTTACTTAATTTTTTTCCTGTTGAGAAGCCTTATAGTTGCATAGCTTTCGAGGTTTTATCCTATTGTAAGGTTGATTACAAAAATCACAAGTACCCATTTTACAAACACCCATTCAGGATTTTTTTTCCTAACAGCGACAGAATATCTAGGAGACTAGGACATTTGTTTGGTAAAATACAAATCTCTAGGTCGTGGTGCGTTAGGGATACTGTAATTTTTTAAGATAAATGGACTCTGTTGTGAATTGTGATTGGGTTAATATGCATGGGTGGCTTTGTGTCTTCCCTTTATTATTACTATATTCCTGTATTGAACTTCTATTCCAATGTGTTATATTTGTACTTTTCGTCCTTTCCTATGATTTATCCTTTTATAACTATATTTGGTTCTGTTGTATTTGTTCGAATTTGTAAATTACCTTAAGTTGTGGTTTGATTTGGCTGTAGTAACTTTCTTGCCTTAAGTAGTAGATGAAAACTATCAATGAGAGATTCTGAGAAAAGGGCTTTCCTCCTTTAGCGGCAATGCAAGTGGACTCAGCCCATCTATCAATTATTTATCTGCTTGTATTTATTTATTTTAAGCTATGGAGCTCAGTGATTGCCAGTTGATTGGATTTTTGTCTTTGATGAATTTCTTAAATGTTAGGAATTTGTTTAATTAAACATGCTCCCTTTGTCTCTCTAAGTCGATCGGACTATGTGACTGGTGTATGCGCGTTCTTTCCGTTTTAGCGACTCATTTGGATTTGAAAGCGGGAGGAACATAATTTACCAAGTTAAGGTGCTGTGCTCAACAGATTGAGATCTATTATTTTGTTGGGTTCTGCAGTGCATCTATTTTCAAGCCTCTCTTGGCGAAAGACATTTTGACATCTTCAATTGTGTTTCTGGTTTGTGCCTTTCTTTATTATGTTATATTCTACTCATTAGTCAATTTTTTTTTTTTTTGAAGTTAAACATAGATTAATTAAAGTGCCGTTCAACTTAGCCACAATTCCGTGTTCGATAAGAGTTGCATTTTTTTTTTTCTCTTCATATTAATTTTTTGAAACGTACATGTTTTGCTAGCTCAGATCTCCATGTGTTCCATGACATTTTTATTGGAATCTTATGGCGGCGCCTCTTTTTGCGCTGATGAAGCACGTTGGTTTTAAACAAATCATGGTTCATAGTTCTCGATTTAAAATACAGCAAACTCTATTTGTTTTCTTCATAAGTAATGATTTTGTGTACATCACAATCAGTTAGTATTTAGAAACTACATCTGTCATTAAGAGTTATCTCTCTCAAAATCTCATTTCTATACTCTATAATATATGATGTTCTTCTACATTGCCTGGGTATAATTGCGGCTCCTTCTACTTCTTCAGGCATGGAAACTTCTTCTACCACACTTCGTGCTCCACCTCCCACTTCCTTGAGCTGCTTCAAATCCGTGGATCCTCTGATTGCTACTCCAGCCACCCGTCCTTCGATCCACGATCCTCTGAAGTTGTGAGTTTTGCTAATTTCTTTGTTTATTATTTTCCTTTTCATGGGAAGCAATTGAACATAGTGATTTTATGCCTTCATGTCTTGTTTACATCATTTTTTTTTTTCTTTCATATTAATTCCATATTCATATCTGAAAGCTCAGATATTCCCTGGGTTTCATGACATTTTTTTTTAAATCGAGCCAAAAAATATCCGCTCCGCACTTGGCTACCCGGCTGAAATAGAGATTGCAAGAGTAAATATTCGCCCGTGAAACTTTCTTTGATGATGTCACCTCCTTGTGTGCCAAGTAGTTACTTCTCTTGCACTGATTAGTATCTCTAATAAGAAAAATTTTGCGCAACTGACATTTTTTTTGTTTTGTGCATGACTTGCGCACCCGGAGGTATGTATTTTAAATAGTACTATTAATTTCTGTCCTTTTTCCCCCTAAAAAAGAGACATATGATAATTGAGCTTCTTATTGGACTAGCGGAACATGCAATCAATCTGAATTTGGAGCGTGGCGGGGAATATTGTCTTCAAGGCGAGAAATACATACAACCTACATGCATAACACTACTTTATTCATCTAAATTTCATACACTTTACCTGTTTTCTATATTATCTTCTCCAAAGTGAAGTTCCATGGGTAAAAAGTGTCGGTGGAGGTGACTTCTCATGTTATTACTTTTGATTTGATGTTATTTCTTATTTAATATCGACCATGCAGGGTCCATGAGTTGCAGACTCGAATACATAATATTGCTTTCCGTCTTTGGGAAACTATTAATCTATAACTTTTTAAAACTTCTGAGTATAGACGCAAAGTTTGCATGGTTTTCTTTGACGTATAAGTATCTATACTTTCTGCATTTAATTAATTTGGAAGTAGTGATTGCATTTAATTCATTCCAAAGCGCCCTGCATCTCTTTACCTCAGCTCCTCCATTTCTCGGCTCATTTTCACCACCTCAGCTTTCCATGTGTTCATGACATTTATATTGGTATCTTGATGATGTCACCTCCTTACGCGCTAAGTAGTTGCTTCTCTTGCACTGATTAGTATATCTATATTGTTAGCAAAATATTATTAGATGATTACACAATAAACATTTGATTCCAGAGAAGACTCTATGCTGTAATTTCAGCATTCGGAAAATTACTCATTGGATCCAAACCTTCTTCTTCGGAGCGGAAACGAACGTGGCCAAGCTATCGAGTCCCTTTGACCTCAACATCTGCCGCACACACTGAAAATTCCTCTCTAAGTTTTGTCATGGTGTGAAAGACGAGGAAAATGAAAACACGAGCCTTTTTCTAATATTTTCTTTTCTCTCGAACCAGTTGAACTAAATAATTGGTGCGTGCATGTCATTTTAATTTTACATATTACCTGAGATATATAGGCAAACATTCATAGAAAGGAGATTACATTTGACTGTGAATGACTATGGTCCGAGTCTTGGATGAGACGATTCAAATATGATGGATTTTCTATTAAAATTTATATTATCTCAAGGGATGGTAGGTAGATTGTTATAATATATATTGTTATTGGTGGGTCATACCAAAAATATTTAAATGTTGGAAGTTGATTTATTGATAGTAATGATTGGATATGCGTGATTCAAAATGGTG